TGAATTTTTTGCATATCCATGGGATCGAAAAGCATACTTCGTTTTGTTAAATTCACTTCAAGAATCACAATTACAAAGAACATGAAGAGTACAACAGAACGAACAAATAGATTGTAAGTATGCATTACGAGGGTATCCACTCGCATTTCAGGTATATTTTTTATATTGTTTTATTGACTTAACTAATTTGTAAAAAAATAATAATTATAATTTGTAATTACGTTGCAGTATTGGATATACGAGACATTTCCAGAAATTGGACAAAAATTCGGATGTCATTGACACAAAACAGCGCAGAGTTCACGAATGTATAAGTGGAGGCCTAATAAAATATTGACTGAAAAAATGGTTAAGCATTTTTTGGCTACTCGAGATGTATGATTTTTTTTAATCAATGAATAATTACATTTATGTTTAATTATTTAAAAACAAGATATAATAAAATGATTCTGATATTTTATTAAAATTATAGATTCGGGTAATTGCAGTGTTACACCCTACAAAAGAAAAATTGGAGACATATGGTATATAAATCTTTCACTGCCAATTGACAATCAACACAATGTATTAGATGGCATCGTCAATGGACTTTTAGATAACGTGGCACAACAAATCCCAGATAACACTTATGAACAAGAGAGGGATAACATATATGTGCAAGAAACAACTATTCCTAGTACCTCAAGAACTTCACCAGTAGTCGGGCCTAATTCTGGATCTACTACCTCCAATTATGTAACTGAAAACCAAATGCTAGAACAGCTGAGTGTCTAGAGGCAAGATATAATAAAAGATGTGTCCGATATATGTAGCAACTTGAGAACAGAAATTTATGACAACCAAAGACAGTTGTTCGAACAACATAAAAAATGGCAGGAAAATTACATGCAATTTGGTATGCATTCCTATATGGATAATTCATTCTCAAGTTTCTTCAGCACACACATGGAGAACGAAACAATTATTCCAACAACAACAAAAATAGAAAGAAGATCATTACCAGAGCATGCAATCTTACATGGCTACCAATTTAGATTCCATGCGATATTATGTTGATAAACAAAATAAGAATACGTTGCATAAATTATCTGACCGACAATCAAACATGGAAGCAATTATAAGTTATACGCAACAAGACGTTCCTATTGGTAGAGATCCAATTCCCGATGATCAACCAAAGGATGAGTCAACTTCTCAACAAGTCGAAAGTTCTGAAAAGATGACAAGAGAGAGGAAAAACAAGGGAAACAAATACAATCTTCGTCATCTACAAGACGTCCTTTGGAAGACTATTCTATGAAAAAGTACATAACGATTAGAGACTGGCGAATAATGAATCGAGGTAACAAAGAGAATTCTTTATTATTGGCGTAAGTACTAAAATTTTCTTTCGATTTATTCAACGCTAATTTAAATTATGCAATGCAGTGCAATTGGGAAGATGGCATTGGGAACGTCTATGGAAGAGATTGGTTAAAAATTTTATTGGATCAAACAAAAGATATAAATGTTGCAGTGAATAAAGTTTAGCGATTACAGTAAATTTCATTTTATACTTAATATATTTAACTTGTATTTATTTATTCTACCAGTAAATTGAGCTGGAGCTGAAGTTCTTGAAGCGACTTATTAATGATGGTTCCACCCTTGTGTCTAAAGAATATGCAATCATGGACTTTCAATTTTAAATAGAGTGTACCCGTCTGGTGATTTGGCAATCTGATGTACAAGCAGGAATTAAAAAAGGTCTACCAGATGGAAGTGAATTACAACAATATCTGAACGACAAATTGCCTAGAGATAATCGTCCATGGGTAGGGTGCAAGTATTTATTAATTCCATGCTCATATCCGAGAAATAGTTGGTATCTTTATTTGGTCAATATTTCGAAGTGAAAATGCCAAATATATGACTGCAGCCATAATAAGCATACACCAGATCAAGTGAAGGCACATGCAAGTGCAACATTTACTGTGGTTAATTCATTATTTTTCGACCTAGCTTTTGCCGCAAGACAAGATATAAGGAAACATAGAAATAAACAAATGAAGGAAGAGATCATACCATACCTACCCTGTGCAAACAACGAGTAAGCATTGAAAAAGTTTCTTACTATAATATATAATTATTTGTATGTACTAATTTAGTATAACAAAAAAAAATTCTTTTACAGGCCAAATTGTGCAATTTTCGTGCTTAAATATATAGAATGCTTTGTTCTGGAGCATCTACTAGAATCAGTTTCACCAGACAAAATAACTATATATAGACGGAAAATTGCAGTTGATATTTGTCATAATGAATATTTTTTTCATCCCCGTGTGTCTTCCTGATTGTAATGAAGTATTGTAATTTGCCTCATTGTAATGGAGTATTTGAATGACTGCTTAGAATCTACTATATTCAAATGTTATGTAATTTTGGTAATTGTATATAACTTGTCAATATTTCAAGAATACCAAATATTCATGTTAAAATTATGTAAGTAAAACGAAAAAAAAAACCATATAATGAAGAAATCACATTTGGACAAGAAATCATACGTAAAATTTTATTCCCTAATTTGTCCTTTTGATTGAATTATAAGTTGAGAATTGTGTGGATGATTGCAACCTTCTTGAGTTTATATCACAAACTTCACTCTCTCTATGTGATCTTTCACTAGCTTCGAGCAAATATAGATTCAAGAATGTAGAGCTATATAAATGTAGGTATCCAATATTGTTTGCTTATAAATAATTATGAAACAAAGTAAGTACAATTACAAGCATGGACATTCAAAATACAGGGATGGACAAAGATACAATCCTTCAAACGAAGTTATTAGATAAAATCGGAAACGATAAAAATAGAAAAATTACTAAAATGAGAAATTTTTCTAACTTTATATATATATATATATATATATATATAAAGAATTTTAAAAACAAATTAAATAAAAGAAAGTTACGAAAATTAAATAAAGAATATATAAATATTATTTAATTAAAATTTAAAAAATTTAAATTTTATCATAAAGAAAAAAGAATTAAAAAGAACTTTAAATCAAAAATATTTATTTATAGTATGAACCAAAGAAATTTTAAAAAAGAAAAAATAAATGAGGAAAAAATAAAAAAGAATTCTCTCAGTAGATGAGGAGAACTCCATGGATGGAGAAATTGGAGAGAAATTCTTTCTCCTCATTTTAAAATTTTTTTTTTGTTCATATTATGAATTATTTTTTATTTAAAATTCTTTTTAATTCTTTTCTTTTTATGATAAAATTTAAAATTTTCAATTTTAATTAAATAATATTTATATATTCTTTTTTTTTTAATTTTTGTAACTTTCTTTTGTTTAATTTATTTTTGTTTTTATTATATATTTTTTGAAAATTGTTTTAAAATTTCTTGTTTCTTCATATTATAATTTTTTTCGTTCGAGTTAAAATTACTTTTGTTCTATAATATGTTCATTGTTGAATATTTGTTTTTAATTTTGATTACGTCAATTTAATTTCAAAACTTTATAATAATTTTTTTCTATTTTTGCTTGCAATTAAATTTTTTCTTTAACTTGTTAAATGTTTTAATTCCGTTCTTTATTAAATTTTAAATTGGATGAAGTGAAGTAACGTGTGAAAATGAAAAAATATCACGATTGAAGGAGACGGGTTGCGTGTAAAAATGGTGAAATGATAAAAAAACAACACTATCTTAATCTTGCTTCCATCCAGTCTAAACTAAAAAAACACGTTATATGAAGTAGGTGGTCGTGTGTTTCAATATTTTTTCTTTTTTGTGATACTTGTTTTTGGAAAGAGAGGAGTCAGTTATTTTCAGTAATAATTTGTCGAATTTTGCAATTCATGAACTTGTTTCAACAATAATTTGTCCTTTTTCACCATTCGTGAATCTCAACCCCTGTTTGGAACTCATTAAAAAATTACATTATAATGAGATTCTTTATTTTTCAATAGTGATTTCTGTAATTTAAAAATCCCAATTTCTATTCACTTGTCAGTGCATTTATGGTCCAACACAACGGGTAAAAATCGGAATGACCAAAACACCCCAGCTCCTCAACATTCCATTTACGAAAAAATACCCCTCTCCATTTTAAATGTATTTCCCTTTTCAAGGATAATTTTGGTGTTACGAAATCTATCTCATTCCAAAGTTAAAAGCTCACTTTAAATATTCAGTTTGACCGAGAGTCAGGGACATGGGTCCCATGGTGTCAAGAACAAAAAAAATTGGAGGTTCATTATAATGGAAATCAAACAGGCGTTGCGTGTGTTTGGTCAGATTCTTTCCAATTTTTTCAATCTCATCTTCATGTATTTGTGGTCCCCACACGTAAAGCAATTGAAGAAACCGCCAGCAATTTTTGACTTTTTCATTGAGTGGTCCACATATAATTCATCCAATTTTCCAAAATTGACCTTAACATGTTGTCATAGGTTATGGTGTCAATATACTTGGCTAGCTGAGGATAAATGAGTCCAACCAATTTCCAACAGTTCACTAAACGAAAATTGAAGTCTGGTAGCCCTCAGGGCACATCTTCAAGTGGTAAAAAGGGAGGGTGGAGAAATCCAATTTTACTTGAGGCTGCTGCGTCAAGGGTTCGAATCCTGAAATATGGATTTGGCTCTTGGGTAAGTGCAAGTGTACAAACAGCCTTCCACCCTGTACCCTTGGAGACAAAACGTGCGATTTACCTCCCTCACGATGCTCCAGGATAGGTGTGGTAGGGGACCCTTAAAATTAGGGTTTAACCTTTTTTTTTTTTGAAAATTGAAGTCTGGCATAGCACGTTCCACTTTTACTTTTTTTATTAGTTTTTCACTGTAGTCAAATGAGATGTACGAAAAACTCATTAAAATGACCTTTATATACATATTGGTACAAATATTTAATAGCTTTAATAAAAGAACACACTTCAGCATTAATATAACAATCAAATTTTACACTTAAATATGGATTATAAGGTACCATCCACTGATTGTCTAACATTTATCCTCTAACTTTAACGTAAATACCGCTATCACATCGCCTATATAATGGATATGAACTGTCACCAAATATAGTACTGTTGCAATAAGCTCGAGGGTGCTTATTCTTACAACTACTATTTACCTCCATACATACATTCTTTGGATTAAGACTTTCACAATGACCATGCATATTATGTTTCATAATAACAAAATAAAGATGTGGATATTTGTTTTTATCGGGAATTTCACAAGAAACTACCCTATCAAGATCTGTAGCACAGGAGATTTTGTGGCCAGAGTTAAAAATTAACAATAGATGCGTATGAGGGAACCCTATTTTTTGAAATTTAATCACGTATATGTGAGCAATTACAGGACCTATGATGTTTTCCTTGTATAAATCCTTTTTTAACTCTTCTAATTTTGCTTTGAATACACGTGCAATTAAATTTGGGCGATATTGAACTTCATCATTGTGTTTTAGTTTTTCCTTAATCTCTGACCAATTTGAATTAAATGTTATAGTTAGAAATATATATGGTTTTCCATAACGTTGTACAATAGTCATTCCATCCACATATCTTCTTAGCATATCTCTAGGACCATATGTAAAACTCTGTGGCAATACAAATTTTTTACCAATTTTGTATCCCCTTGTCTCCCAATTTTTAACACTATCTATAATATCTTGATAGATTTCAGAACGAATTTGTTTTTGATTATTATGAAAATAGTCTAATTTAGTAGTTTCAATTTTAACGTACATATCTACAACATATTGTTTAAAAAACTTACCAATGTGAAGCAACACAGATTACTTGTAGGCCGAATTTGTAGCTTGTTTGAATAATATTCTCGGCAAGAGACCTGAGATCGTTTCTTCATTCCATTGAGTACTGCATAACAGAAGAAAGATAAGTTTCAATATTGATGTACAACATGCATACTACAAAAGATTTTAGAAGCACCTAAAACTAATACTTCCAAAACTTTATCCTCATTTTCAATTATTTCAGTTGCAGAAATAATTGTGTTAGGCAAACCAGTAGACTCAGGTAAATAGCGATTTCGGCTCTCTATGTTTTTAATTCTTTTTATGCCTTCATGCCAACCAGATTCTCCAAATGGGAAGAGCAATGGGTATTGCAAAGGATCATAACAATCATAATTATAATGAACTCTATGAGAATCACTAGAATGGTCATATATCGTAATGTCATGAACACGGACATTTGTGTTTTGATCATCGTCGGCCCATACAGTAGCAACTTGAGACGTTGTAGGGGTATTGAATACTCTTTGATCAAGCTCTGGTTGACATCTTATGTGTAAACGATGATTGTGCAAATTGTTCATATCACTTAAAGATCTAAAGAAATGACTATACGGATTTATTTTAAGGATTTCAATTAGAACAAGGAATGCACATTCTACAAAATTTTCTGAACTTTTCATACGATTTTGAAGTTCATTTTCCGTATCATAAAAATATAATTGCATATAAAAAGACATTTTTTTCTCTGGCATAAGGCGATTTACATAGTGATATACTTGCCCTTGAACTCTAAATGTGTAAATACCTCTATATGCTTTAAAGAATTCTTTGTCATACTTTACACCAAATGAAGTAAATACAAAATGGTTATTATACCCCCTTGCAATCTTTTTGAACTCCATAGGTTCTTTAAAAGTAAATAGGTTATATATTTCAAATGGTGAATCAGGTATACAGAGCTTAATTTTTCCATATGAACAACAAAATCCTTTACTTTCTGTATGGAATTTTTGCGCACCACAATAGTTACATTTTGGTAATACATATGAAGTAACTGGTATGCTGAACACTGGCACACAATTAGAAATATTTGTCGTCTCTTCATTTGAAGTAGAAGCTTCAAATTCGGGGTGTATTATAGAGTCATGCACAATGGTAGAATCCGAACTAGTATTCTTAAATAATATAGCATCATTTATCCTCTTACCATGGTCAATCTGTCTATCTTTAACTCTATTTCTCCAATCCCTCTGTCTTTTATTTCGTTGTCGATGAACAAAAAGGCTGCATGCCTCCTTTGTGATTTGGGGAATAATTTCATTATTAATGGTAGATTCTCCATCAACAGACATCCTCAAAAGATCCATCTAAACAACACAGTAAACTGTGCAACGTTCAAAAGCACAAATCAGCGACAACTAAAAATGTGGAAAATTTGTTTCTAATATTTCAACAAATTTACTTTTTAAAACTTAGATAATAATTAAAAAATGACAAAGAAACACAGGTGAAAAAAAAAAAAAAAAAAAAAAAAAAAAAAAAAAAAAAAAAAAAAAACATACACAACAAAAGAGAAAAGGTAAAGACGGTAAGGACGGTCTACTTCATGGGGAAGCCTTCCTATTTTTTATGAAATATTTGCAAAACTTCGAATAAAAGCAAAAATAAAAGTTGAAACCGCTATGATCTATTTTGTGTAGAAATTTCCATGTTCTTGGTCGACTTCATGTGGAACTGTTTCATTTTTTGTGAAAGAGATTCATAGAAGTTCGAACAAGTTTGAACAAACAGAAGAGAGAAAATCGAACGGCTAACAGTAGAAAAAAAATACCACCAACCAACAATTTCTTCCTATTTTGATTCGAATACATCAATGGGATTTCCTATTCGGTATGCTTCGTCAAAAGAACCATCCAATACCAGTCGAAAACTCAATTTATTACATCTTGGCAATGGAAAGTTACTTGTTTCCCCTAATTATAAGTTGTAGTAATTTCTTACTGAATTTTTTGTTTTATACTGACCCGCCCCTAGAATTTGTAACTCACTTATAGCAGTTGAATGAGTTGTGTTTGAGTTTAACTCATTAATAACCTAGATTCTATTTTTTTTTTTTTGTATGGAGTGTTAAGTAGTAGACGTCTTTACTGTTTTTTTGACTTCTACTATTTGAAGTGGTATCCAAATGTAAAGATGGTCAAATACTACCTGTTTTCCTTTTACTTTTGCTCTCGATGAGTTCTTTCTTCTTTCTCTAGAATCAGTAAAGTAAAGATAAGGAAAGGCGAATGATTAAATTAGGCTTATAAGGTTTGGGTAAAAAAAATTAAAATCATCTCAATTTTAAAAGCGTGAGGCTCAAATTTGAAATCTTTGCATAAGAAGTTACGAAATCGCATAGTGCATATATATTCAAAAATTTTATATACAAAAGCACAAAACATCAACTGGAGAAAAAAAAATCCAAAACCTTACCTGACAAAGATCTCTCCACTATAGTCTTCGATTCCACAAGATAACTAATATATAAATAGCAAAAAATTTCAATTCGAATCTACAAAAAAATTGGAAGGTAAAATCGTCCATAATCTACAAATAGAAAAGTTTCTTTGTAAAAAAACAATATTACCCTACACGAAAGTAAATATGAAATATTACCAATATCTAATTTCTATACTACTTCAGAGATGTTTTCTCATTTCACAATGAAGCAAATGTAAAGAATGAAAAAGAAACGTACGGCAGAAGAGAACATTTTTTTGTGGGAATATGATTTAGACAAAGCAAATGGAATTAAAATTCGCATTAAAAAAATCTAGTGACAATACATGTATTAGACAATAACAGACTGCATTTGTTATATGAAAATTGAAAACATTATGACACCCTAACTTTAATAATCATTTTATCAAAAATACCCTTGACTTAATGCTTCACATTATTTTAAATCAATATTGATATTGAGGATAAAGTGGGAATTCAAAACCTTTACCAGCACCATGCCATAAAAGTCAAATTTGAAACAAATAATTGTGGTTTACATGCTTTGAATCTCTCACACAGTATTCTTTCTCCATTTTTTCACGCTATCAGCTATCGACCATATCCTATAATTTTTCACATAAAAGTTGTTCTTTATTTCTAAAATGTGAAAATTTACTTATAACTAAAAAGATCACTTCAAGTTATTTAAAAGTAAAACGAACTTATAATTGTAAAAGCTACTTATAAGTAAAAAAAATATTAACTTCAAAATTTTAAATATAAATATTTAGATATATTAGTTTTTTAAATTAAATATTAATAAAAAAATCACACTATCTAGAATGTAAAAAATTACTTATAAGTAAAAAAAATTTATAATTGTAAAAGCTACTTATTGATAAAAAAAAAAATATATATATATATATATATATATATTAACTTCAACATTTTTAAGTAAATATTTAGATATATTTAATTTTTTTAAATTAAATATATTAACTTAAATTTTTTTAAGTAAAACAATATTAACTTAAAAATTTTTAAGTACAAATATTTAGATACATTTAGTTTTTTACTTTAAATATTAATATTAAGATTATAAAAAAGTCAGTTATAAATAAATAAAAAAAATCACTTCAAACTATTAAAAATAAAAAAATTACAATAAATAAAATTTTAAGAAATAAATATATTGTCACC